AGACCTGAGGAAGGTGCCACACTCTCTGGAATTAAGAGTTACAGATGATTGTGAACCATGTGGGTTCTGGGAATTAAACCCCAGTCCTCTGCACAAGCAACAAGCTATAACTGAGCCATCTCTCCAGCCTCTAGCATTAGGTTTTAACGAGGGTTATTAAATTTGTGACTATACTAAAAACTACTAAAGTGTACGCTTGGAGTGGGTAAATCTTATATATGTAAATTGAATCTTAAATAATGCTTTTTTAAGGAAAGAACATGTGAGGTAAGTAGTGGTCAGGCTAGATAGAGATGACACCAGATGTGGAGTGAAAAAAACTGTCTCTAGCTCGAAAGGCCATGGCCAGGGAAAATGAAGTGACTGTTTTAGGTGGGATGTTTACATGCCTCACTACGGGCAGCAAGCTGTGCAGGTCTTTGATGGCTTGTGTAGGACATAGGTGTGGAAAGGCTATGCAGGTAGCAAAAAGAAATTACCATCAAAATAAAGCAGTCTCCAGAAGCCCCTGAAATGTGAAGCAAGAATGGGTGTGGGCAACTGGTACTGTTGGAAATGGGAGGCTCAAATGAGCAACCAACATTGTCCCCAGATAACTAATGCTCTTTTTTCTTCTTTCTCTTTCAGACTATAGCCCTCATTTTCCCTTGGTGAGTACATAACTTTCTAAAAATTGTTTCTAATGTATGATTAGTTAGCTAAAAATGCCTGGGATTTAATTGTTATATAAGGCTTATCTTGTTGGGAAACAAGCCATGCGGTCAGAGGTTAACAAGCGAATTTAGTGCCTTAACTCGCTCAGTGGCTCACATCACATTTCTCGTTATTTTTTTTTCCTCCTGGCAATCCTCCTAGCTCAGCCACTCAGTGTCTTGAAACATATTGTTGAGAGCAGTTCCCACGTGCTTTCCTTTCTCTGTCCTGTTTCTTTCACAAGGGTATTGCCTTATCTCAGTGGCACACATTCAATGCCCTTTAGGGTGCACAGCGGCACGCGATTGCCTGGTGGGAATTCCTTCTTAAATGGATCTGCTTCCATAGGGGGGAACTGCTAAGAAGGTGCTTTTCTCAATGGTATTTTTGGTTAATAAAAAGAAAAAGCTTCAGTGTCATGGGATCTTGGGTTTTACACCTTTGGGGTCCATGTAACATCGAAATTGCTCATCTCTGATGCCTGTAAGAAAAGAATATATATACAACATCCTAGCCCAAATCTTGTTTTGTTTTGTCTTGTTTCAGACATGCTCTCACTATGTTGCCAGAGCTGGCCTCGAACTCACAATACTTCTCCTTTGGCATCCTTCGTGATGAGATTTCAGGCCTCTACCAACATTGCCTGCTTCACAGCCTTTTTCACAAACATTTAAATCAACTTAATGCTGTTCTTCTTTTCAAAAGAAAGGGAGGGGGAATCTAAGAGTTTTGTTGTTTGGTTTGTTTGTTGAGACAAGGTCTCCATCTATAGGTCTGGATGACCCAGAACTCACTCTGTAGACCAGGCTGGCCTCAAGTTCATAGATGAACCTCTAGTTTCTCCTGAGTATTGAGATTTAGAATGTGCTCCACCAATGAGTTTTGAAATGACTGCAAGAAGAGAAGGAAATGCTTAGGCAGTGTGCTGCCCTTAGTGAGGGTCACCAGAGTGTCAAGTAGAAAGCCCCATTTCCTAAGGACACAGTTTTCTTTGAAATATATCTGTTAGTGGGGCATGCTACCACATGTTTGTAACCCCAGGTTTTGACATGTGAAAACTAGCTTGTAACCCTCCTAAGTTCTGAAGTTCAAGGCTAGCCTGGGCCACATGAGACCCTGTTTCAAATGACAAAACAAAAGCAACAACAATAAACTTTTACTGTGTTCTAGATTTTTAAGGTTGGTGCATTGGTTCATTTGTTTGGCTGGCCTCCTCTGTTAGGCAAGGGGTCCTTCGTGGTATGTCCCCATCTGAATGTGAGTGGTTGTGTTTGTTCCTGCTTTTATCAAAGGCAAGTTAGTTCCATAGCTATTTCTCAGTGTTTTGGTAAGGTGGGCCAATGATAACCAAGTATTTATCAAGCTAAGAAAGAAGGAAGCCTTCAGTTGGACTTACTGAGTTTTACGGTCCTATTGTGTGTTGCATTGTTGTTAGATGTCATCAATTATGAATGGCATCCAACTCTGATTGGGTAAATGGTGACAGTGGGAACAAAGGGGAGGCTCTTTGCCGAAATAATTTTGCGGAATGAAGGTTTAATTGCAAGTCAGCGGTCTCTATTGTCTTGGAACTCAAGCCAGAAGTGTTGACTGGTGAGTGTTGGTGTGGATGAATGTACTTTAAACACAGCACTGTTAATTTGAGCAGCATTTTTTTAAAAATGTGCCTGCCATGCTGGAGTGAAGTATTCAAGGGTCAGTCCCCATGGATTTATCTTCTTCTCAGATACAGGACAAAGATTCTGGTTGGTTATAAACATGTAACCTTTGTGCTTCTTGGCACTTCACTCTGGGCTGGCTTATCCAGAGTCAGCCTTCCTTCTTCCCATTCTAGGATTTCCTAGCCTCCTGGTTCATTGCCCTGATGCCCATTGGTGAGCCAGCGGCTCTCCAAATGAGTTATCTTGTGACAGCTGCTTGCCTGGCTCCTCAGCCCCCACATCACAGTCCTGATTAAAACCCAGAAAGAGATTTGGAAGCCAATGTTCTGCCTAGTGATGCTAAACTGGTGTTCTGTGTCACTGTGTTTCCAATGTGGATCATGATATCCAGACAGAAGCTCCGATCTTGACCCTGACCTTTGCCTCTGTGTCTTTAGTCGGTCTACTCCATCCCTGGCTTTAAAGATATGGGACTGGGAGGCAGCTCTGTGACATGGTGCTTTCTGCACATGCTTGAGGACCTGAGTTCCCACCCCCAGCACCTACAGAAAAGAGGAGGGTGTCTGCAACTGCAGTGCTGGGGGTGGGCGGGGACTGGAGAATTCTGAGGGCTAATTGGCCAGGCAGCATAGCAAAACATCATCAAGCTCCAGGTTCAGTGAGAGACCTTGATTCAAAAAGTAACTAATGGAGGAAGAAATCCCAATGTCAGTCTTTGGCCTCCATGCTTGCCAGCAAAAGGCAAGTTCACTAACACCCATGAACACACACACACACACACACACACACACACACACACACACACACACACACATGCTTTTGACTTCAGGAATCTTTCTTTTTGACTTGAATAATAATTATCTAAGGAGGGAACAAGGAAATCTATTCTGCCTTCATTAGGAATCTGCCTCCTGGGCTGCAGGCAATATTCTCTGGCCCATTTTGTTTTCCTTGGCAAACATCTGAGACTAAGCACAAAGTTCAGGATTTCAGAGAATAGTCAGAGAATTATTTCTAACTTCTAACATCTGAAAACTAGCTTTTGAGTGGCTTAGAACTTCGGACAGTCTGATTAGGTGGTACAAGTAAGCTCCCTGAGAATGGAGACTGTCACAAGCCCTCATCAGTGCTTTGTGGGATGACTGCAGAGAGGCCAGGCTGGCAGTCCTAACAGAATGGACACACTAGCCCATGCAAACCTCCTTTCTTCTGCTCAGCTTTCCCAGGAGGATGGAGATGTTTGGGTGAGATGTTCCCCAGCCAAGATCGAAAGCACCAACTACTGCTCCTATGTTAACATTATCAGAGAATCAAGTAAAGAAGTAGAGAATTGGGCCTCGGTATGTGTAGGCACCATACTTCTTACCAAAGGCCTCCACTTTACTGGCATCACCCTTGACTTTCCATTAAAAAAATAATAATATTGGCTTTCATAAGAGTCAACGTTTTTCTCCTTTGTTTTGGATTGGGAAGAGCCTTTTAAGCAAGGGCTACCCCCTTTTCATTTTGCATTTAACAATAAACTTGATAAAAATGCTTGCTGTACAAGTGTGAAGAGTTGAGTTCAGTCCCGACAAGCATATAAAAAACTGGAAGAGAAAGCACACAGTTGTAATCCCAACACTAGGGAGGCAGAGGCAAGCCAATACCTGCGATGCACTGGCTGGCTGCCCCAGGCAAAGCAGTGAGAGATCCTGTTTCAAACACAAGGCAGAGCAATAGAGGAAGACACCTGCTCACATACATGCACATGCACCCACATGAACAGGTACACACACATGGGCCACACACAAGCTCACACACAAAAGACAAAAGACAAAACAATAGACCTGTGGAAGTAACTCTGTCATGCTTATCTATGACCAAAAGTCTTTCATCTGGAGAGTGTCTACAGCCTAGACTCTAATGCAATGGAGTGGGAGAGTTAGGGATTTATGGAAGACAAATAACTAAAACCTCAGGGTGGCCATGACCAAGTCAAAGAAAATGATGTTGTGAAGTCATGGTTTCCCTTTGGCTCATGGGAATATCAAAGGGATAAGACTGAACAAGAGTGATAGTATCACATAGCAGCTGGGCATTCCCCAGCTACCCTTAGTGATCTATGCCTCCTCCCCTCACACTTTCAAAGAAGGTTGAGTTTTCTCCTCTGAGTCAACACTCTTTGGTGGTGGTGTGAATGACCATGAATGCAGGACAGTAACCTGAGATTTTCAAAGAATACTGGCCCTGGTCATTGAGGTGGGAGTACCATTGGGGGTAAGTCCAGAGTGACTTGAGTGGGCATAGCAGGAGCTGGCCTTTGGAGTCACAGGAAGGGGCAAGAGTAAGTGTGCAGAACACAGGAAGAGGTGTAGCTCTGTAAGGTGAGTGACCCAGGCCCGATGTGAGCCCTTTGCATGCTCTTGGGTTTTCTATCAGTTCCTGGCTCCCTGAGCTTCCTTTCAGATTAGTAGAGCTTCTGGAAGCAATGAGAGGTTCCTTCCACTGCTGACCCCTGGAAGCTGGCAACGGTCTAGAGTACACTCTGGGAACTAAGGGTGACTCATGGCTTTCCAGTCCCATCCCCTAGAGAGCTTCCACCTTTTTTCTAAAAGTGCTTCCCAGAGGAGTCTGGTAGGAAGTCTATTGTCACACACAGAGGCAGGCAATCCCCATCAGTCACCCTTCCCACCCAGAGGGAAAAGGGAACTTGGGTTTTCCATATAAACTCCTGTCTCGTCACTGTGCCTGCAGCAGACCCCGACATTCATCTCAAAATCCATTTCAGCTAACAGAGAAGCATGGAGTGCCCAAGGCCAGGATGGCTGCCATGCATCATCCCAGTTGGACAAGAGGTAAAGAGGGAACCCAAGGGGAGCCTTCCTTGTCAGTTTGGATTTCTCTCATGCTTGCTTATCAGATCATTTCTAAAGCGTCCAAAATTTAGGTTAAAGACTATTACCAAGGCTTTCGAGAAACAAAAGTTGGCAAGCACCTGTGTTAACTTTGTCCAGCCTTGTGCAGGAAATCTGGGTTTGTCCCAGAGCTGGTTTGGCCCTGCAATAGCCCCAGCTGCAGCCATGTACAGGGCCCAGCAGGAAGCCGCTGTCTGTTGGGGCCTGGAGGGGTTTGGAGGGCCATCAGATCACCAGGCATCAAAGGTGAAATTATTCTTTCTGGCGACCTGTGCAGTTTCCACCTATTATCAACTAGGCTTTTTATCATCAAGAGTGCACTCTTGATTGTCCTTTAGGATCTGGGAAATGGCACTTTAATTAAAAGTGGCACACTGAGAAAGGAGGAGGAGGAGGTACCTGAAGCAGGGCATGGAGCAGGTCTTCAAGACAACTGTCTTTAGTGTCAGCCAGTGCTTCCCACCCCCATGCCCTGTGAGGTTTGCCTTGACTGTGGAGCTCGAATGGTAGGAACAGATGGGTGTCAGCCAGTGCTCCCCACCCCCCCAACGCCCTGTGAGGTTTGCCTTGACTGTGGAGCTCGAATGGTAGGAACAGATGGTGTGAGCAACAGCAGAGTAACACCAGCTGCCTGGGGTGGGGGTGGCATCATTCACAATACAGTGGGGGAAAGACAAGAAATGCGAGTCCCATTGTGGGTATGAGTCACAGGGAGAGTTCTCAGACCCACTGGACCTCTGAATTAGGAACAAGGTCAGGTGCCAAGTGCAAGGACAGATACATAGTTGGGAACTTTACTCTCAATGGCATCTCTATCAACAGAGTGTGTCCCATGGCAGTTGGGACATCAAGCAACAGATTAGATGGCGGCATCTTTTCAAAACCTGCCAATCTGAACTGACTTTGCAGAACCCGATATGATGTGAAATTTAATATAAGGTATTTAAGATGTTAGGGGAAAGATCCCTGTGGGATTGCAGAACAAAGACACTTCACATAGTTGGTTCTCTGCATAGTTTAACAGAAATAAGCAAATGCAAGAGGAGAGATTGGGTTTGTGCTGTTTTGTGGGGAGGGCTAATTAGATCTCAGTGACCTTTTAAGAGCATGTTGATGATACTGCAATGTTGAACTGATTCCAGACAACTCCACAGACTGATCGACAATGAGAAATGGTGCAGATAAGTAAGACATGGAAACTCATGACTGTGATCTCAAATTTGGGAAGCTGAGACAGGAGGATTGCTTTGAGTTCAAGACCAGTCCAGGCTACATAGTGATATGTGTGCTTGTTAAAGCTGCCGTAGCATGTGACCTCTGAAAAACAACATTCTGATGTTGATAGAAATGACTATTTGGAGAGCAGGGCTTGGTCTATTTCCTGTTTTGCTAAATGATTTAAATGCATTATGCTTAAAGCACAAATTCCATTTATTATAAGGTGCATCCAATATAGGATACTTGGCAGTTTATAAAACATGCTCAAATTTATTATCTCATGTGGGCCTCATACCTGTTTGAAAAACAGTCTGGGTGTACCTTGCCACCTCCACCTTGAAGATTAAAAATCAGAACCAGGGGCTAGAGAGACAACTAAATGGGTAAGAGCCTTTGCTGCACAAGTCTGAAGACCTGAATCCCAATACCCCATTTATAATGTAAAAAAAACAAACAAACAAAAAAACTGGTGTAGTCACATATCTGTAACCCCAGTGCTATGGAGGGAAGAGACAAGAGAATCACTGGAGCTTGATGGCCACTAGCCTAGCTCCACATAAAAAAAAAAAAAAAAGAAAAAAAAACAACAAAAAAAACCTGTCTCAGG